GTAGAAGTTTTGTAAACAGACACACGGACAGACGGACGGACGGACGGACGGACGGACGGACGGACAGAGTGAAACTAATAAGCACTTTTTTCAAAAAATTTTTTGGAAAAGTGCTAAAATGATGAGATAACGGTAAATTTGAATGGCCATTTTGTTTTTCTAAAGTTTAACTATAGTATACCAAGATCCATGTACGTATAACAGACGGACGGATGGACGGACGGACGGACGGATGGACGGACGGACGGACGGACGGTCGGACGGACGGATGGACGGACGGACGGACGGTCGGACGGACGGACAGAGTGAAACTAATAAGCACTTTTTTTCAAAAATTTTTTGGAAAAGTGCTAAAAACTATCTGGCATTTAAAAAATTAATGAAGTCACCATTTCAAACTTACTTATTGTACCATATAGAAAGAGAGAGAGAGAGAGATGAGAACATTGTAGTCAAAGAATAATCTTGTGGTAAGCTTTCAACACAGTGAACCGCATTAAGGCGACAGATTTTCTTTTTTAAAATTGACTTTGGGATATCCTGTTTTTGACCGATTTCGGCAAAAAATAATTCATTTTCGGGGTATAAAATGGAGCTAATTTTTTTTTTGCTGTTTCTTTAACTTGTCATGTTTTAATTTCTGAAATTTCACAAATGATTCGTCAGCATCAAATTAATTTAGTTGCATTCGGAATTTTATCACTAAAGGCACTATTGAAATGTTATTGAACATGCCTCTTGAACATGAATGAAATTGGGTTTGAAAATGAAATGGTAACGGTTAATTCAGGAATTCCAATAAAAATTACATGTAAATTTGGAAATGTTTTCGTTAAGTCTAAAAACCAAATGCTTAATAAATCACCCGATTTAATAATCTTTTACATCTACATATATATATGCATGTATGTATGTATTTAATATTTATATCGAAAATATAAAATAATCTTTTTTGCTAAATGTCACATGTTGTATAGAAACTGTCATAAAAATAAAAATTTTCTTTCCATATATAAAAAGTTCTTTACTTGTCTTTTATGTTCGCACTCAACTTGATTGCTCTACACTGTTATACTCGCATAAGTACGTTCTTTCCAATACAATACAAATAAATACTGGTTCAGTTTTCCTGTACATATTCAACTATGAGTATAGATGTACCTTATATATGTATATAATGTAAATTTACACGTGTAAAGTGTATGGTAAGTTTCGTAGATAGATAAAAGTAGAAAAGAATCTTATGCTAGAATTATTATAAAAATAAAAATGAAATTTACAAATAAAGCCTAAAGTTCTCTAATATTATTATATAATAAAAAACAAAAAGTAAAAGCAAGATCTTACAACTTAAATCCTATAATATTAAATTAAAAAGGGAAAATAACAATTGGCTCAAGAATTTCTTCCTTAATTTTTTTTTATGTTGTTATATTTTCATTGCGCTCTATAGTACCTATTTTGTTTAATAAGAAGATTTTGGTAATGTTAAATTTTTATTATTGTCATAAATCGATTTAAATGGTCTAATAACCTAGTAGTATCAGCTTACATAATATGGTCGACTTAGGTAAAAAATTTAAATTTAAGCAAATTCATGCATAAATGTTAAATATTAAATTATTTGTTCTTTTTCATCAGACAACTATTAAAATAATTGGAGAGCAGGCAAAATGTGAGCTTTTGGAAGGCAAAATATGAGCTTTGATAATTGGAGAACCAAAATACGAGAAGTTTTGAGTCTTTTAAGATTTTCTAATAAAAAAAAAGACTTCTCTTAAAGACTTTTTCAACAATATATCACGGGAGTAAATACGATATTTCTCTGTGATTCGATTATCGGAACTAATTCGTAACTTACGCCTCTATGAAGCTTTCAAAATAGAAGAACAAAAATTAAAAAATAACAAGAATACCGAAAACATCGAATATTAATTCTTGATATTTTCAAAATCTTCTCTGATAATTTGAACAGCTCTCTCAAAAATCTTAATATTACCATAGAATCTGAAGCATTTTCCTTCTCACTCTTCCAATTTTCCAAAGCAACTTGATTAAAGCAAACTTCATTATCATAAATTTTGAAGTACACATACTTTTCAATAACAAAATTCTTCAAAATAAGTCTTTGCGATTTTTACAAAAAAAAAAATTTTCTAAGAATTTTGTAAAAGATTTAAAACAGAAAAACTTTTTGGAAATGAATTATGCATGTACAATAAGATTAATTTTTATTATTTCCACAAATTAAACATAATATTAGAATTCTGCAGAATTAATTAACTGCTATAGGAGCAATAAATTTAACATAACTTAACATTCATATTTAATATTATTCAACATAATTAACATAACTTATTCATAATGATTTCTAAAAACACTTTTATTATTAAAAATACTTGAGTTTCTTACAAAATTTTCTAAATCATATTTACTACCATTTGAATGAGACATGTAATTCAATTTTTTATTAAATATTATCGAAATGCTATAATGAAATCTCTTTCTCGGCTTCTTTATACCCTTTTAAGGGTGTGGAGGCACTATGTGTTTGATCGCCCCTGTTATTTTATAGATGCTCTTTCCAAACCTTTATGTCTTACGCAAGGTGAGTTGATTCTGCAGCAGTTTTGTTCGTAAATTTGCGTACTTGATAGACCTATCTATTAGGTGATTGACCCGTAGCAATTTTTTTATCTAATTTCCTTCAACAATCAATTTCTCCATTTTTCAATCGCGTCTAGCAATATCGTCAAAATATTTCATATATGACTCGCTAATCTTCTACATCAGTACGATACCAATGTTGGTACGGTGTTCTGTGTATGATATTCTAAGCACTCTTCTGTATACCCACAACTCAAAACTATCAATCTTTTTCTCGTCGCTTTCCTTTACGACCCATGTTTCTGCGGTATAAGTTACTATGGGGAGTATGAGAGCATTCATTAGTCGGCACTTTGTTTGTTTACTTACATATGTTTCTATATTCCAAATCTTCTGGGCAATATTCAAATACATGTTTATTTATTTCAATATTCAAAGATCAAAAACAATGAGCCATTTTGCCTCCAAGGCTCCAATGGCCAGGCTACATATGGTAAAACAATACCCTGTGTATTTGCTTTCAGTCATATGAAGTAATTGTGCTGAGTCCTTCTAAGTCAATAAATCATCGTGTCAATCACTGAATACTATTATAATATTTTCAAGAAAATCAATGAGTTCCAGTGCTTTTAAAATTATATTTGGGTAGTTTGGTAGTAGCTTTCTGTTATTAACTTATCATTTTTATGCCAAGAATTCAAGGATATGACAACTATGGTGCAATTGTTTCGATATTTATTTCGAAATCATGAAAATGTTAACAGCACTTTAGTAACTAATTTAATTAAAGTAATACTTAAATATATAGAAATTAAATTATCTTGTGGTTAATACAAGAATCAAATATAATTCTTAATGCTTATTAGAAAATATGGGCTTCCATATTATATTTTAGCGTGCTGCAGTTAAAAAAAAGAAGGAAATAAAGAATAATTTTTTCATTAATTTAAAATGGTTACAAGTCAAAGGATAATTTTTTTTTTTAACATAACCATCTAAACCATCCTTGGATTCTTTTACAAATTTTATGTTTTTCTTTTCATTTTTTAATTTTCATTCATTTTAATAAAATTTAACTGAATTTATCAAAACAGAATACAATCCAAAGAATATAATAGCAAATATGTTTGTATGTCTGTGTACATTGTTTCCATTATTATAATATAATATATTCATTATTGCAGTATTCCTAACACATACAATACATCCTTACTCTATATTCTTACTTATAGATTCGTAATACTATGACTGCTATATTCTTTGGGCATTTTGAGAAAACAAGAAAATTATGAAAAATAATAAAATGAAAAAATATAAAAGGCTTTCATAACCAGATGGTACATACATCCTACAACAAAATGGTGGAGAACCAAAAAAAAAAAATAAAAGAAAAAGAAGATGAGAAGGAATAACATAGGAAAAAAAAACTCATTTATCTTGGCATAAAATTTTAACCTATCCCTGGCCTTCTAGTTTTTTCCTCATATTTTTTTTTTTTTTTTTGTTTTTGAGAAGAAGGTAATAAGAAATCTAAAAATCATAATATTTTTTAATACCATATCCCTTTTTATCCTTTTTATGTGCGGCGATCGTGTACAGAATACGATAATATTAAATTAAAATATTTTTCTTCCTCTTTTTTCTTCTTTAAATCTATATTGAGTCTTTAACTTTAAAAATTTTATTATATTTCAATAAATTCAAGATAATTTCAATTGGTATGCATGTATGTGTATGGTTCAATTCATCTTAAATTGGTTTATCAATTTATTTTAGAAAGTTCTATAATAGATTAACTATAAAGAGAAATTTTTACGGTCTACAATTATGTACAAACATACATGGATTTCTTTCATTGTTTTAGGTTTTGAGTTCACAGCATGATTGGACTATAATAAAGAAAATTTTGAGGAAAATCATTAAATTAATAAAATTTATAATTCAATGAGTTGATCAAGAAGAGAGTTAATAGTTTCAAGAGTATAATAATGTGGAATATTGTAGATAGAAATTCAATAAATGTCCGAGCTCAGTATAGAATTTAAATATTTTCGTGTCATTTCTTGAAGATTCGCGAACTTAAAACTGTATTGTGGGCATTTTTGTTTTTTTTTTGCTTTGGGCGACCAGAGCTTCTAGGTCCTTTTGACGTCGACCTATAGGATCTCTTGTGATTCATATCTTCATCTAGATTAACCCTAGTCCTAGACCCCTGACCAATTTCAATATAGCAGCCACCCAAAGTAGTATAACAGAGACTTCCATCGGGGTCATCGAAACCCTTGAATTGTATTGAATGGGCTCATTGTATATTGTGGGCATAGTTTTAATTAAAATATTCAAATATTTATTTTTTTATTGTTAACCACTTTAAATTTTATTTTTCTTTACAGAGATTTATTGGCCCACTGTAGACAAAAAACAAAGCAGACAAATCAATAATGGTAAGTTGATAATAGTTTCTTATTCTATTCAAATTTTTTCAAAACTAGAAATTATAATTTCCAAAATTTTGTTGGCTAATCTGCATAAGTTCATTAAAAAAGGGTTTCAAAATTTGTTCCAAATAATTAAAAAAAAAAAAAATCGATATTGTAGATCATACATAAATTTTGTCTTACATGAAGCGTTTTACGAAATGTTTCATCCCGATTTTTTTTGACAATTTTTACAATTTCATATTTTACAAGTGTCCAAAAAAAAAATTAAAAATTCACAGACTGTACTACTAAATTTTAAATGTCATCATGATAAAATTTATTGTTTAAGCTTTACCTGTACATTGACAACACAGGGTGTGAACAAAGAATAATATAATGTGTTTGTTTTCAAATGGACTCAAATTTTCAACCGCATTTTTTAACCCTACATTCTCTAAATTTTAGTCTTATTCACTGAAAAAATGACAGGCTAGCTTGTTTTACACGAAGTTTTCATAATTTCATTCTTAAATTTTGAAAAATTTTTCGATGTAATCTTTAATTTTTGAACTCACATTTAAAATTATTCTTGAACAATTTTCACACTATTATCTTTGTACAAATATACGTACAATATTTTATTCAGAGAATACTCTCCTCTATATACTTATAATATTTAATAAAAATTATTATTAATATAAATTTTATACTTTTATATTTCGATAACAGCTGATGATAACACTTAAAAATAAGTAGAATATTAACTGAATATTAAATATGAAGACAGCTCATCTGTGTATATATGATGGAATGTTATGAAATCGGGTATATACATAATATATAATATGATTATCCTTAAATATATTAAATCCAATATTCTCCATGCTATATACACATTATAATATGAATGTATATATACTTCCGGGATAAAAGTAATACATAATGTTCATATTATGGTAATACAATAAATGTCACCACCTATTATAAAAATCTGTTCTTCAATATCTCTCTGCTATATTTAAAAGCAAAAAAAAAAAAACGAAAAAATTATAATGTTAAAGAATAAGTCTTTTAGTCGGATAATAATAACCATCCTCAGTCATCCGGGATTGAACAAGAGAAGAAGAAGAAAATGATAATATTAAAATAAAATACCCAATCAAAAATTATGGTCCAATTTAAAAAAAAAATTCGAGCACATTTTATTTTTTTGTCTATTTTTTTTCTCTTTTTCCTCTTTGTTTTTTGTTACCCTTAGAGTACAAAAAGTGTTATCATAAAGCCCATATATTCTTTTACAATAAAACGCTTTTTTTTTGTTAAAATGATAAAAAGAGACGGAAATACATGTGTGTGATATAAAATGATCTCCGGTTTTATTCTTTTCTCTTACAATTTTTCATATCTCATTCTTATATTTCACTTGGTGTCTTTAATACATTATTTACAGTGTACCTAGACCATGTATAAAAATCTAATGACCCTCCTCCCCCTGAATGCTGGGCATGTCCCTACAGCAATTGCTCAATATCCAGAAGGTGCACTATTTCACATCTACCTCTCATCTGATTCTGCCTATTCCTGTAAACTTCTTAAATCGCTTCTGGTCATGATCTTCCGAAAGCTTCTTGCTTTTCCATAGACCTGGAAGTCTCCTCCCTCCTCTCTCTGATTTCTTTCTTAGTTCCCAACGAAAAATGATCCGACTCCGCTGGAGGACTCCGGTCTAAGGAAAAGTATGTTAGCTCTCTCCTTAAAAGTGTCTCCTCTAACTCATTTCCCGCTACGCCTACATGATTAGGAGATGTATTTGGTTTATCACGATGTATGTAACATACCAATATAAGGTCATCTAGCAACCTAGGTTTTCCAACTTGAAATGGTACCCCCATACAAGTTTTCATACGGGTTTTAAAAAAATTCACCAAATATGATCATGCGACCCGTGACCATCCCGTACAAAATAAGATTTTGGTGTCATATTTGATTTCGCATTTGGAATAATACGTTTCTCCGGCATTGAGAAGGTTTTTCTTTGCAAATAAAATTTCTAGATACACGGCGCATTTCCTATACGTCATTTTATTTTTAATAATTAATTGCTCCTACATTACAATTCACTTAATTTGATTCGTCCATGATATTTTTCTCATGTAAATTAAATTTTTAACAAATTTTCGAATACAAAAAATTAAAAAATTGTAAAAATCTATAAGAATAGCTCATAAAACAGGAAAGAGAAATTATAATTGCTAGTAAAAATGCAGTTAAAATAAGTTTAAATTGAAATTTTTCACATTAAAAATAACACACAACCAACCACACATGCATGATGAATTCATTTATACCTACATAATAGGCATGTAGGTATTTTAAATATTATATGAAATTCAGATGTTTTGAAAGAGAAAGAAAACAAAAAGAGAATAATTTATATGTTGGTGCCATAGGTTAATATTCGACCTCGGAATATCTACGTAGATTATTTTCTATAGAAAAAAAATATTAAATAAAACACTTTCCGCATCCTTTTTTAACAGTAAAAAATTTTTTGAATAGTTTGAAAATTTTATGGTCTTTTTTTTTTTTTTTTGGTAAAGCAATGAGGTTTTTTGTTTTTTTTTGTATAAAAAGAAAATAAAAATATTTTTCAATAAAAATTATTTAAGTTTAAATAATAAAAAAAAATCTATATATATAAAATTATTTTATTACGCAGGGTTATTAAAAAAATTCCAAAAACGATTGAATAAATAAATTTTTTTTTTTTTTTTGTAAATCATACCGAATTTATTGAAAGAATGGAATTTGTTTTCGATAATATTGCCATTTTGAATGGAAATCTTTGGTCGAATAATACTCTTTATGTAAGAGTCTGTCGTTATATTTGATTCACTAAAAGATCGTTGACCATATACTATGCAGGTAGCTATGCTATGCATCAAAGACTGTGAAAAGACAAAAAGTTAATGAAGTAGAATAACTTGGCTCATCACTCCATTGAGAAACGTTGAACGATCCCTTCAATTTCCAGACTCCTAAAGGAAAGAGGCAGTCCTCTAAAGGAATACAAAGATTATGTCTGTAAGGGACACACGTTTTCTTCCGACAACAAAGTTTAGAACTTATTAAATTAATTTTCAATTTTAAATCTCGCGGTATTAGCTATAAAGATTTATTTTCATCATAGACGAGCAGTGACCAGCTTTCACACCAGTAAACCGCAGTTCCTATAATTGAATTAACCCTTTCATACCCAATCTAGTTTTTTTTTTTTTAAATAGCTTCTTTATTCATAGATTTCATTTGATTAATTAAAATTGATTAATTATTTTAATATTCAAAATGTTTTGAAACCCAAAATATTATACTAGAGTAAGGTCACAAATTAACACAATGCGGTCAAATGGGTTAAAAATTTTGTAAATGTATATAAAATATTCATATTGCTGTTCTTTTCTCAATTACTTTAACTGAATTCCACTTACTTGCTGTACTACTCCCTTCAGGAATCTGTTTACGAAACATTTTAGATCTGAAAACAACCCTGTATACAAATTAGATATACATTTATACTCGTAAAATTTACATATTACTATTAGTTACATTATAATGCTATGTGTGCGGTTGAATAAAATTTCAAATAAATATGAAAATTTTTAGCAAAAAAAAAGGTAACCAACGTGAAAATAAAACAAAAAATTATGAAAATTCATTTAATGTTAAACTGCAATATTTAAAATATCTAACGACATAAATAAAAAACACATACACGCTTTTTTTTTCTAAACACCTGTAATTGTAAAGGTGTGAAATAAATTCAGTTTCATATTACGCTTTAATTTTTTTCTTTTTTTCGGTTTTTAGTTTTTATATTTTGCCATAGGCAGTTATGGTATAAAATACAGTTAGTTTGTATAAAAAAAATTTTATAATTTTTGGAATTTGTTGGTTGAAAAATTAAATAGCCTTGTCTATTCGTGCAGGATTTACACATACACACAAATTTAACTACTCGTTTTTTTGTTAAATTATATTTTTATAAATAAAACATTCTACATATAAATAATAAAAAAAATATTAAAAATAATTAAAATTTTGGTTAAAATGAAAATGAAATTATCAAAAATAAATTTCAACAGCGAAATTTGAATGAAAAAAAAGAGGTGGTTTTGCTGTTTTTTTTTTCTCACTTTTTAATTATTTCATGTTACTGGAGCTACCACAATTTATAATTTATATAAAATAAAAAATATTTTTAGACATAGAATTATTGTGAATTTAATTACTTTGTAAAATTTTCGTATAAAAAAAAAAGTTACAAAATATTCGAAGAATTTTTCCATTTTTTACGGATATTATGAACAGAACGGCCTTAAAACTGAATTTATGTTCTAATATTCCAGTGTAGTCGTAAAATTTAAAAATAACAATTTGAAATTTATAATCTGCTCGAATAACCAGGTTATATTTGCTATAAAAACATAAATCGTCCCTATATATATCAAGTACTGAATTGTCTAACACTGTCGCAACTGCAGCTCATTTAAGAAATATAAATATATATTTTTAATATTCAGCTAAGCTTCTTCCAGCAGATGTGAATTTATTTAACCACAAGAACATATTCCAACTTCACGTAGAATCAAATATTCAGAGGGATAATGGAGAATACATTTTATTTTTTGTTTATCCCCTGTACGGGGGCCACTTAATCCTTTAAAAAATATTTCCATTTTATCCACATTTATAGATACTGAGGGGTGTTAATCAACGAATTGAACGATTCGCTGTAACCATCAAGACTTAATATGACGTTGGATCATAGAGATCCATTGAAGTATTCCCTCCAAGGCAAGCTTTGGCAACTACACTGTAGTACTCTCCATTTAAATCCACACAAACGTTTCACAACTAATCCCAGTACGTGTTTTTATGTTTATGATAATCAAATCCACAGTGGCCTGTCAGAAGGCTAAATGCCACCCAATTTATTCACATACTGACAGAGCTGTTAAAAAAAA